AGCCACCGATAAAAGGGCAACCCCAATAACATTTAAAACGAATTACAATGCAAAATCGCCGTGCCAATCGAGCGCCACATGTGGGAAATCGACACGTGCATGCACACAACAGACCCACAGACACAGCACGATCGATGAATTGAGCCTGCGACGAGGGACACCGCCAGAGCGAGAGGGACAGAGAAGCGAGTGGGCGAGACAGACTCGCAGCGCCGAACAGCGGGCCCAGTTTTCCAGCCACACAGACACATCCGATTTTGTGGATCGATCCTTCAGAACGCCAGTCTGTGCGGGGTGTCCTGGGCCAGACAGACCCCTGGAGGGGGGAGGCGAACTTTTCGCGCACTAACGAGTGACCGTTACCGAGGACAGCTGTAGGATGTGTAGGACCCTCAAGAAATACCCTATCGTACCCTTAGGGAATACCGTATATGGTATTATTGGACTGTACAAATGTGCAGCTGCCGACTTACTTTTCCATTCGTTTTGACCTGTGGGCACCGTGCCAACGGGATTAACTTTGCTTTGTTTCTGAAGGGAATTGGTAGCGCAGTTGTTTTCCCCACGAAAACCTTGAAACCTTGTGAAAGTACCTATATGCTTAATTGTAGTTTTCGTGCTCTTCCAGTTCTTAATGCTTATTTGTTTCATCGCCCTTTTTTAATGAGCTTCCCGTCCTCCTTCCGCGTGCTTTTTAGACTACAAACACATACACAAAAATACACAGATGTATATATATATATGTACATATATATACACATACACACGTATATATACATATATACATAAGCATAGTTGCACTGCTCCGTGGGGATGTATACGACTTCAAGGACCGAAACATTCCTATTTAGCTGTTTAATTTCTTTTTTTATGCTATTTCTTCAATTTTTCCTTAATTTATTGCCTTAATTGCCTATATTTATTAGACCACTGCTTTAAATCGTTTAGGCGTTTCAAGGCATCTTTGATGTGCGCCCCCCTCCTGGGCATTACCACATACGACGAGGTACCTTACCGGGGCCGAGGCTTCCCTCTGAGGACTGTTTAAAACATTTGTATGTGACTGTGTTCAGTATAACTTCGGCGCATGTCTTCTGTGAGCAGTTCTGATGGAAAAATGATTTCAGCTGGCCTGGTGGTAGCAGCGAAACCACTTGGGAACCGGAAGTTCATGCATCGACACGTGCACTGAGGTGAGCTTTCTTCCCAGACCACAGTACACAGAGGGCATTTCTGCTGCTGAAAACAAAGAAAGCAACGGAGCAAATGACCAGCAGCCGCGACTGACCACGTGATAACGCAGTTTGTACCGTGGAAGTGTTGATGGTCCGGGAATTTGGATGCCATTCCAATGAAACATGATCAAAATAGCATAAAAAGCCAAAAAAAGAGAGCCGCCCCCCCCCCTCCTCAGCTTTCCCGTCTTCCGGATGCATAACACGCCAAAAGTGGACAAACCGGAAGTCGGAATTATTCACATTCCAGCGTGGAATGGTACCACATCAGCCTCTTCTTTTAGCATTTTCCGTTGAGTGCTTCACGCCAACGACTCAGACGTTGTTGTTAGTGATAAGATCGATATATTTTGCATTTTCTCAAGCTGCAACACTGTGGCCTTTGCACTCTTCTGCTCTCATTAGGTAAGGGAGCAGTTTTGGGCGCAATTCGTTGCATTCTGCTAAGCGGTCACTACAGTCAGTTGATCTTTTTTTTTGTCAAATGTTTAAATTTAGAAATGGGAAATTCCTTGAAACACAAGTGAAATAAAAGAATAGAAGGATTTCACTTGAATGTCATGTGCATGAAGACATTTTATAATGCAGTCGGTGTTTCATCCCTTAGCTGTAAACACAGACTGAACTGTGGTTGCGGGTAAGAACGGGAATCATCAGTACAGCCTCCTACCCGCCATGTTTTGAATAGTCATGTAACTAATTTGCAAGATGGATAAGCGAAAGAAAAAGATATAAGTGGAGGAGCAAATAAAATGAGAGAGGAAGGAAAGAAAGGAAGTTAACACGCGATACGGCAGGCATTATATGTAATTATGAGGGAAAGCTTTTTATGAGAATAGACTACTGACTAGGCGTTTAATTCCTGAATCATCAGGGAAGATTTGCCCGCTACTGATCGGTTCTTAAAGCATAATTTGTGCGTTCTAGTTTGACAATATCAAACTTTTTTGTTTGCACTGTTGTGGTATTTCTGCTGTAGAAAGAATTTTCCAAAGCTTCTGGTGTTGCGATTACTAAAATCGCCCCTCTCCCAGGTTCACCGTATGCATCCCACATTAATGATACTGCCGGAATGCTTTCATATGCCGGGGCCCAGCTGTGCCAGGTGAAAAATTTTAGCCCAGCTGCCAGAACTGTCAGAACTGGGAGGTCACTTCTTGCAGTGTTTCACCTGGTGACACACTGTTGTTAATCATTTCTTCGTAGTGTTTCAACACTACTGTGTCACCGACAGGGGCTGAGTCATGTTTAATTCAACAGTTCCTTCCAGAGCGTCCCGTCACTGCACACCGCTGAACAAACTTTGCGTTGGTGAAGTGAATCACACTTCCCCCTTCCCCAACCCTTGCCTTCCGCGCTCGCCCTCCCCCGAAAAGGCAATTTTAAAGGAAATTACGATTTCCTTTCGATGAAATCTGTAAACAGTTTGAGCTTCTTGCTTCGCACAACATAAGTCACATCCGATCTCAAAGAGGTTCGATATTTCCAATTTTTGTTTCCTTTCAGGAAAGCAGTAAATGCAGTGGATGAAATTCTTCATTTTCTCTATTGAACAATAAAAATGCGTTTTGATCGAATTTGCGGTGTCGAAGCATAAACCAGCCTTTCGGATCACTGCTACTCGTACGTTTCAGTTGTGTACGTGTGCCAGATCTGTTCCATAACTTTGAGGATTTTATCTGTGTTTATCAAATTTTTGTCGTAAATCTGAGACTTTCCATATTGGCCTCGAATAAACTCAGTTTTGAGTTCAGATGAATAAGCACCTCTCTATTAATAACTGTGATAATTCAAGCCGTTTTTGGTCTCATCTAGAGCTATTTGAGTTACCGAAATCACATGTGCCCTCTCGGTCGAGGCTTATCGCGCAACGCTCTCCGTTTTTTTCTTAGGCCGTTAAGTTGCTGATCCCTATCTGGCATTGGACTCCAACTAATTTGTGCTCAAAGCTACTTTTCAAAAACAGTTGCTGCCTTCAAAGTGCGCATTTCAGTAGTTTCACTAAAACCCTCAA